CAAACTTAAAACTCAATCCAGAAAAATGTAACTTTTGCCGAAGAGAATTACCATTTCTTGGACATGTAATAACTGAAAAAGGAATCTTCCCTAATTCTTCAACTATTCAGAAGATAAAAGACTTTTCTAAATCAAGAACTATCAAAGGATTAAGATCTTTTCTAGGGCTTGCTGGATACTATAGAAAATTTGTAAATGGATTCTCTCAAATTACTGTATCACTTTTTAAATTACTTCAAAATCAAGAATTATTTATTTGAACAATAAATCAAGAAAAAGCTTTTCAACAAATCAAACAACATCTTACAACTATATCTATTTTAATTTATTCTAACTTTACAAAGAAATTCTATTTTTATACTAATATCTTTAACTCTGGACTTGAAGCTATTCTATCACAAAAAACAAAGATAGAAGAGAACAAGTAGTTGCTTATACAAGTGTTACTCTGAAATTAAATGAATAAAAATATGAAGTCACTGAAAAAGAAGTACTAACAGTAGTATGAGCTATTAGATAATTTTGACATTACATACTTGGAACTATATTTAAAATAATAACAGATCACAATGCTTTAAGATATTCAAAAAATCAACAAAGTCATTCAGCTAAAGTAAATCAGTGGATCATATCTCTTATACTTTTACTATTACCTATCAATCTGATAGAAAGAATCAAAATACTAATGTCTTATTCTGATATATTCAAAAGATCACTAGAAAATAACTCTCTTCTTAACAACAACATAAACTTAACAATTTATTATAACTTATAATAATTTTTGAATAATAAAATGTATTCTGTATGATTAATTGCTAAACAACAATGAAAAATATAAAATTAATCAAAATATTTTTTACAAATAGATAGAATATTAAGTAAATTAATAGAAGAAAAGAATTAACAAAATCTCTTAGAGTAATTAAAGAAAATGAAATAAAAGCTATTTTAATCAATTTATATTCAAATTTACTATTTGAACACTTTGAATTTGAAGGAATTTATCAACAAAGTGCAAATAGATATTGGTAGATTGGTATGGGAACTGATATTAAAAATTATATGAAGACTTGTGAAATTTGCCAACAAACTGATGAAAGAACTACTAGATAATCTTTACATCCTATCAAAATTGAACAACCCTTTGACAGAATTATTATAGATTTAGTTGGATCTTGCAAACTATTAACAAATAGAAATTGATATATTATTACAGCAAGTGATTATCTTACAAAATGATCTGAAGCTAAACCAATACCTGACAAGAAAGTTATTACTATTGCTAAATTTATTTTTGAAGAAATAATTTGTAGACATGGATGCTTCAAAGAAATTCAATCAGATAATGAATCAGAATTTGTCAATAAAATAATCAGAGAATTATTAACAAAATTTGGAATCAAACAAAAATTCTCCTTACTATATCATCCACAAACTAATAGAATAATAGAATGATTTAATAGAATATTATGTACAACATTATGAAAATTGACAATAGTACATAAACAAGAATGTGATACTTTAATACCAGCTGTTCTTTTCACTTATAGAACAAACCAGAATTCAACAACAAAGCATGAACTATTTTTTTTAACTTATGGACAAACTGCTAGATTACCAATAAAATTGAAAATTTCTATTCGTCTAGAAACGAATTCCACTGAAGAAGAAAATCTTTTACAGCAAATATATTACATAGTAGATCAATTATCACAACAAATAATAGAAGCACAACAAAATATAGAAGATAGATAACTACAATATTCTCAAAGATATAAATGTTCACTGATCCTAAAAAAACACTGACCACTAAATGTGTTTTTCATATCAATATTGATACGCCATGTGCTTAAACACTATTAGCATTAGTTATTATTCTATGTTAGATTATAATTTGACTATCAATGTTAATTTATGTTGATATCGCTAAAATAGCGAATTTTATCAAAATAAAGCCTAATCAATAAATTATTTGAAAATTTATTTTCTGGTGGAAAAATCTTGAACAGTTTCATATTTCTTTTGAAGAATATCATTATGAAGAAAATTATCCAAAAGTATCGAATTATGATCTAATATTTTAAATGAGTGGTAATTAAACAGTTTGAATCCTTAGTTTGGATTTCCCATTCAAATTGATCTCAATCATGATTTAATCTCTATAAGAAATTTGATAAAATTACGTCAATTGAATTTGTTATTATAGATATGCTATATATATATATATTCGAAATTCAACTATAAAGCAACACGTGCTACTGGTATAATTACAAAATCTGGGCACATTTATTAATATTATAGGAAACCCATCAAACTAAATAAACAAGTTAAAAGAGTATTTGCAAATTAAAGAGTATAATTTCAAAATCCACTTCCAGGTAGTATAAACAAATGGAATTATATCTATTGTATAAGAGCTCAGATATTAGGAATAAAGAGTTTTTTTTTAGTTCAAGCCCTTTGTATAGCAGTATTATCAGCACTTAGTACATCGATAACCAAGATAACCCCACTACGAATTTGTAATAATAAATTTTATTTTTGAAAATAAAATCACATTGGCTAAATTATGTAGAGAAAATTATTTATTGCAAGTACAAATTAATGCAATGCAATATTTTTTTGAATTAGTTCAATCAACTCACTATTGCTTTACATGTTTGCTCCATGACATAAAAAAAACGATATGATATAAAATGATATTCTTGAGCCAATTTTTATGGCAATGAATAATTACAAAGAATCAGTTACTCCTGTTACAACGCAAATTACAAGTTACTCAATATTAGTTAACAACATCATCAGCTTCGGAAACACGAAATTATTCGTATTTTTAATATCTAATATTGCAAATTAATTAGATAGATTTTTAGTGATGAGGTGATATCTTTAGAATGGTGGAACGCTCACTCCATAGAATATCAAGCATTATCTAGAATAGTGTGAGCAGTTTTTTTCACATGCAGGAAAACAAATAACAAAACGTATAATAGAATGCATTCTAAAACTGCGTGTGGTTGAATTATTTAAAATCTTGGTTAGAGCAAGGCAAAATTGAGTACAATCCACACAGAAAGTGATATTAGTTAGTTTTTTTTAAAAGAAAAGGGCAGTTTTTAAAGAACAACTAAAATAATTTATTTCTGGAATGAGTGCATCATGCTCTAAAAAAATCAACACACGAGACATTCGCATTCCATGTCAACGCAGGCTTGAATGCCATTTAAACATGTCAAAAATTATGACGATAAGAACTTTTACTAGTAATGTCATTTTAATTTGCTCTTCATGATTCTTATTTATAAATACCCTACTGTATATAATTTTTAATTAAGCCAGACATTTTTTAATAAGCGAAGACTTTGTGCCACAATCACCGAAATTCTGCCATGTTACATGTATTACGATGGTGATGCATTTCGGGATAGTGATTCGTAGAAACGCCTGTACATGATTACGGATGGAGATGCATTTTGGGAATAGAGATTCGTAGAAATGCCGTGTGTTATGGATATTCGTAGCAATATTATTTATTTTTTCACACCAACCTTTTTAGAAGGTAAAAATTATTCTGCCATTACTTTCTGTGCGGACTGTAATATACTAAGATGAAAGAGATTATTAGAATTAATAATAATAGGTTTTTAAACAATAAAATTACATGTATATAATAACACATAAATTATGTATATGTGAATCAAAATGTATTGACGGTCTTGATTTTTAAAATGAATTATTTGTATACATGTATATATGCTATTATACGTATTTGTGTATAAACACTGATATGTAATGACTGACAGAATTGATTTCTAAAAGAATGATTACCAATGTACATACGTACACATTATGTCCTTCTTCCAAGAAATCGTACATCTCCACTTCAGAATCCAAATTCGCCACCGTTCTTTATCACACAACTTCTCTTCGATTTCTTCTTCTGTCTGCGTCTTAATTTATCATTATTGGTCTTTTAATTGTCTTGTTATGTTACAGAAATTTGAGACCAGATCTTTTACACATATCGATATGGAACCAGAGATTTTCTTTAGTCGGAAAAATTATTCCTTTATCGTTATTGTTCATCTATTTACGGATTATGTGCTACATGTCGATGTACTACACAACATTTATATATATTTACATACGTAACTACATTTTCATTCTTCGCGATATAGCCAAATGGCATCTGCGCTTGCAGCATTATGTCTCCGCGAAATATTTAAATACCTTTTCGTATCAGAAGGAGAAAAATGCGATAGCAACGAACGCAAGCATAACAGACAGCGACTTATACTGTTAATTCCTTTATCGTTCTTGTCTATTTACGGGTCATGTATTACTACACAGCCTTCTCCTCAAAGCAATATTTATAACCAGATTTCTATTCTTTTCGGCAAACTCGCATCTACACTTGCAGTATTGTGTCTCCGCGAAATATTTAAAAACTTTTGCGCATCCGAAGTAGAAAAATCCAATAGTGAGGAACTCAATTATAAAAGACAACTTTTTCATTTTGCTTTAGAGAATCATCATTGGTGTCATACAGCAATTTCATTGTTATGGGAACGACTGTTTCCTTTGATCTCAGAGAAAGCTGGTGCAATGTTTATTGCGACACTATTAAATTGCTTTGATAATAACAAACAATTATCGAGACCATTGTTTCAATATAATATCTTTATTAAGCAATTCCTTTTGAAAGCTTTGTTAAAAGCAATTTTCAGTTGGTCAAAATTAAAAGGACATTACAGTCAACAAGAATCACAAAAAGATGATGTACTGGAAAGTTTCCTTGGAACATTTAAAGCGATTTGCTTTAATTGGTCAAAATCAAAAAAATATTACTTTCAAAAAGAATTGCAAAAAAATAATTTACTAGAATGTCTTCTTGATTTCATTGATAGTACAGAAAATACATTCTTTGAAATAGAACTAGACATCCTTAAGTATATAAAGAATTTCAATTATAATGTATCCCAAATACCGAATTCCAAAGCTTCATTAGAACAATTCTAAAATTTTAATCTTTCTACCCTTTACAATTAAGAAAATTTTGTTTTACTTAAGATCCTAGATCTTAAACTTTATTCTTATGACTATTCATAATTTCCATATTGGAGATAAAATATGACATTTTTTTTAAAATTTTTTAGATTATGATGTATTTAAGATTTAAAAGTATGCTAAGCAAACTCATAATAATTAGTTTTTCATATAGAAGAATTTTCGGCAAATTATACAGCATCGAAAATTGTTATTTAGAAAACTAAATTTTAGAAAAAGATAAATTTAATTTACTTTACTTAACTATCAATTGTTCATAGAAATAAAAAAAACAAAAACAAAAAAAAAGAAAATTTACTCTTGTACAGTCGCCACAGAAAGTAACGCCCGATTTGGATGTGCAACATCAACATAAATTTAAATGTGGCGGTTTTTCCCTTTTTGTTATTGTTGACTTCAAATTTTTTTTCATTGCTTTCTTAGACTTTTGACCGACTTTGACAAGGGTAAATGGGTAATTTGGATTGGGGTTTTGAGTGCAGTACAAGTTGCAAGAAAAATGATCCGTGACTCGATGACGGGATAATGGTCTCTTACCTCATCTCTCCTGCTATATCATGGTCGTTTTCTCGCGCTTTTTGTACCATTTAGTGCCTGTCAGAATTTTTCTCAATTCCGAATCCGTATTGAAAGCATTCAGACAACTTGAAATCTGCTGAATTAGGAGACAAACATGGTTAGTTCAAGTACATTTCAAATGCCTAGTATTCATTTTCTACTGTTCCAGTTCCATAAAGTAACATTTTACGAGATGATTGTAAGCTGAATTTTACCGAATTTTGAAATACATGTACATAAAGGATCTTCTTGAAATTTCGTATACAAGTAACTAAAAGACTCGACGGACATATTTAATTCTTTATTCTCTGCTGATTTTGAATACCACTCAAACGCTTTTTCCCTTAATTTTTGTGTTCCCATTCCATTTTGATAGCAACAACCAAGATTATATTTTCCTAAAATATTAACATTTTCTGCTGATTTCAATAACCATTCAAACGCTTTTTCTTAATCTTTTGTGTTCCTATTCCAATAGAAATGACCAACTTCGTTTTGTCCATCCACATCACCATTTTCCTCTGATTTCATATACCACTCAAATGCTTTTCTTCATCTTTTTGCTATTTTCCGCTGAGTTCATGTACCACTCAAACGCTTTTTCTTTAATTTGAATATTCGTGTTTTTTAGAAGTGAAAGAAGAATCTGAATCCGAATCTTCTTATGCTTTAGAAATGGAAGAGCGCTGCTTGGAATAGTTGATTTTTTGTGATGCATATGCCGGCGGCGAGAATATTCATCGTTGAGTATTCATCTCTTTTTTGTTTTTGTAGATACTATTTTTAATAATTGTTAGAACCACATGATTTGAATTACTCACTGCAGAAGTTGTTGTTATAGATTCTGTATAAGAGAAGCATATCTATTTTTTCGTATTTTTCCAATCTTAAAAATACAGTTGACTTTTAAGAGTTAATGTTGCGACTTTGTACGATAATCGGTCAAAGAGGGGTTTTCTGCAACTGGGGTGAGATTTAGACTAAATTATTTACGATCAAAGGGTTTTTGGGGTGTTCTAAAAGTTCCTGTGGCGACTTGTACGCAAATCGACCTTTTTAACATTAGGACGTTTCAAATTGAATAGTAAATAGGATAGTTTTGTAAAGAAAATCAATAATTAAGCAATAAAATTCTATCTATAGTTATTTGTTGATTATCAGAATAATCTCAAACACAACAGGACTTATTGGCACGGCTTGTACAAAGAAAACAAAATTAATTCAACAGAACTCCTGTCTAAGGAAACAAAATTAATTCAAAAGAAATCGACGGCTTATTTAGAGTGGAGGCGCATCCACTACTTGCAATTTCTCGCAAGATTTGAAGTTTGATCACAAAAGAAAAGAAAAGAAAATAATAGTGTATTTCAAGTAATATGATTACTACAAGTAAGAACTTTGTTATTTTATTCGATCAAAGCATATTTTCTCAGAAACTCAAGAACGCTTCTTTATAAGTTTTGAATTACTACGCTAATTCTAACGTTAGTGTTTTACATTAATTGTTCCTCTTGAAACCTAAAAAAAGTAATAAAACAATAATCGTTTGATGTCTTTCAATTGTCTAAGTAATTGTCGTTTCCTCGATAATCACTATCGTTATGTGCGTTATTATTGAAGAACGGGGTGGGGATGTTCATAACACAAGAAAGGTAATATTCATTCATAACGATAACAAAATATTCTAATTTGGCTTTCAATACGAATCACACAAGAAACTATTTATGGGAGGATCATCGCATAGGAAGTTATGGAAAGATATTCATGTGGAAATTAAGGGTCAAAAATTATGAAATTAAAGGATTTAATGTCACTACCGCTACGGTAACCTACATCCAATAACGGCAGCAAAATGTTTTTGACTAGATGAATAATTTCGTCGACAATGGATGCTGCCACAAGTGAAACTAATAAAAGAAAGTGACTTTCCAGAATATAAATGCAAAATACTTGATTTCCCTTTTAGCAGCATGTTTGACATTTCTGTATTAAGGTCTACTAAATATTAAGATTTCCGAATTATTTAATAAAATAATATAAGTGAGCAAATACTTTTCAAGTTGACTGTATCTAAATAATGTTCCTTTGAGTGTTTAAAATGTTTAAAACATACAGTTCATCTTTAGAACTCGTCAATCTCTATACCAGCACTCAAACAATCAACAACATTACTTCGGATCATGTTTATTAGTGAATCGTATTATTAACAATATTTACGAATTATATGTTTCCCGAGGTGTTCCAAAAGTTATTATGTTTATTCTAACAATCATATGCAAAGCGCATAAAAAGTTACTTTCTATTAAATCGACAACTATTACTTTTTGAAATGTTTAATCTATTGGATAAATCCCAAAGTTGTCTTTAACCCAGATATTTCTGGAAAATCAAGCATAAGGTTCTCATCACCCGCAAAGTCTCTCGGATCCTATATTGGGTTCTAGATGCGAAATTACATTTTATTAATTTAATAATTGATAAAATTAAAGTGAAAAAATTTAGAAATATCTCCAGCATAAAGTTAATTTTTGAATAGTTAGATGGTCTATTTGCCTCACAGCAAAAAATTAGAGTGAACTTGCAGGTCGTGTTGACATTTGTCTTTAAGTGAATTCAAAAAGGAGTTTGGAAGAGATACTTGTTATTTCCTGAACGCAACATATAACAAGAGTGGCTTGCTCTTAAATCATTCGTATTAAAACGTGAAATATTCTTTTTTCTTTTCAGTATTAGCTTTGCGTCATCTCAATTCTAGCAAATTCGAGCAACCGAAAAATAAAGGAAACGAAAAGTATATTAATCGGATTCACCCAATTGACTTTGAATTGGAAATCAAATCTTCATTTTGCTAGTCAAAATAGTTTTATTTAATATGCGATTTCTTCAATGTCAAAAATTTCAACTCGAGAATATTCTGTACTGAGTTTGGATACAAATAAAAGTATTATTACATTTAATTTCTCTTTCTTATAATCAAGAGCTATATTCTTCTGTTTATTGTTACCTTTTTTCCATCTGAAGAGAATATTTAGTTAGAACGATTGTATTATATTTTAAGCGACTATTTTACTAAAAAACAAATATTAATTATAAAAGTAAGGTAAAGGAGTGCATTTTAGTGATGTCATAATAGTACACTAAAAATAAACATGAGAAAGCATGGATCATAACTATATATTTTTTGCTATGATGATACCATTTCATATAAATTTTGCAAAAAGATACACAGTTGCACCTAAAATGAAATTTGATCCAAGAAAATGGCTCCAGAATGGGCAACAGTGATCAATGACTATTGAAGATTTTTATTTTAAGATAAGAACAAACAGAACGTAAATTTAATGGCCAATCCAGTGGTTATAAGTGAAATGATATTAAATTGTGGGGAAACAAAGTTGCTATTAGATAATTGATGGAAAACTAGCAGGATTTATCAGCTCAACGTGGAAAAACTCAATGTGAATTGAATAAGTTGATAAATTTTTATTTTTCATTTGTTAAGTTCAAAATTAAAATTAAAACTCGGGTCATATTTTATTCTAATTCCATCCCGAATTCAACTACATTGAAATAATAAGAGAACAACAAAAAAGGCATCTGAATATCCTTTTCTTGATCTATTCTATCGCTATAGAACCAATTACGTATTATCATTTAGCGTTAGATGTCAAGACAGCAGAATATACCGTTAAATAAATGAAAAATTATGAGTCGAATCAGTAATTTATCAAAAAGTTAGCGTTTATAAAATTTTACTGTACATAATATAACGATAAGCTTACAGTATATTATGTACACTCACTTCCAATAAGTATTTGAAATTAGCATATAGCTTTCAGTTTCAGCTATAGCTGTGTTATTGTTATTGTTATTTCTATTTTTGTAAAATCAATTTGATGTCGATCAAAGTTTTAAAAAATGTTGAAACAAAAGAAACTAGCTTTGAACGAAGAAAATTCTGGAATATCTTAGCTAGTGCCAGCGTGATTACAGCTAGTAATACTTTTAAATTCCTAAAGGAGCAATTTATTACACAATTAATCATTTCAAAGCATCCAACAACAGGAAAAGTGCTGAGTGAAGCTCAAAAAAAGAACGGATATTTTCAAATTTATATTAATTTAATGCCTATTGATAGTCAAGGATGTCCAACAAAATATCAAAAATTTAAAATTTAAATACTTATTGGAGGTGAGTGTTGGTGGGTCTGTCTGTGTCGATCTCAGGGTCGGGAAACAAAAATCTGGTGTGACTATATGGAGATCAAATTTCTTAAAGTTGTGATTATATTGATATCGAGTGAGGTATGTAAATCCTGTGATCATATATATCGATATGAATTATATTATATAACGATAGTATATGTAAGCTTCCTTGTCGTCATTCTTAGATTAACTGATAGGCGTAAGGTTCGACGATAAAACTTAACGTTCCATACAGTAAAATAAAAAAACTGAAAACGATGCCCATCGAATTATTGACTTTACACTCAAATAAACTGGCGAAGTTTTATGAAAACGCCAGATTTTGCGACATTTCGATCATTGTTGGAGACATTCGAAAAAATGGGCAAACTTTTGCAGCACATTCGTCAATTCTAATGGCGCAATCGGAATATTTTTCTGTGGCTCTTTCTGATGCATGGGTAAAACGAGAACCAAACAAATTAATCATCTTTAATAAACCAAATATTAAACCTCTTATTTTTGAAATCTTGTTAAGGTAATCTTTATTTTTAAAATAACATACTATAATTATATGAAGTAAAATTAATCTGTATGATTATTATCGTTATATATTGTAAGATATATGTATAGTGGCAAAGTCGATTTGTCAGATTATGAAGTGCCAACGCTTTTAGATTTATTAGTTGCTGCTGATGAATTGATTCTTGAAGATTTGACTGAATATATTCAATATTTTTTGAGGCAACATTCTAAATCTATGGTTGAAAATTTTGCTATTATCAGTCAAGTTGCTTTTCAATACAACTCACTTGTCAAACTCCAAGAATTCTGTACAGACTATGCATGTGGAAATCCGGATGTAGTTTTTCAATCCAGCGATGTTAGAGAAACTGCAATTATCTCCTTGCTTAAACGAGAGGATTTGGACCTTAAAGAAATTGAAGTTTGGGAAAAGGTTCTTGAGTGGGGAATCGCTCAAGCTACTGTTTCTGACAACGTCGATTTATCGATTCCAGTGGTTGAATGGTCACAAGATGAATTTAATCAGCTCAGCATTATACTCAAAAATTATCTACCATTAATTCGTTTCTTTCATCTAAACTCTGCTGATTTCCATAATAAAGTGAAGCCATATTCGGAACTATTACCAAAAAAATTATACAAAGATTTATTGCATCATTACCCAGTACCTGGAAGTGAAGAACAACAATCGTTGCTTCATCCCATTCGCAATTCAATATCAACTATTCTTTCTCGCAGACAAATCAATAAAATCATTCAATGGATAAAAAATCAAGACAGTGAGAATGATACATTATTCAACTGTAATCTGTTATTATATGGCAGCCGCGATGGATTTACTGCTAGTGATTTTCACCGTTTATGTGATTATAAAGGTCCAACCATTGTCGCTATACGTGTTAAAAATTCTGACAAAATTATTGGTGGTTACAATCCTATTGAATGGAAATCTCTTGATCGAAGTTATGTATGTTCAGGATTAGCGAGCTTTCTATTTAAATTTGATTCTGACGACATTATGGGATCAACTACGGAAGTTTTCAGCATATATAAAACTGGCTGGAGCATATGTGACTATGAAGGAATGGGTCCTTGTTTTGGGGACGGTTATGACTTGGCTTTGTTTAGTTCTAGAGGTAATTATTGCCACAAACAGTCTTTCGAGTTTGGTCTTCTGAGCGAACTAAGCGAACTAATACGATTTGATATTGAGGATTATGAAGTACTTCAAATAGTAAAAAAATAGATTACTATACTTTATTTATATTTTTAGAATTTCCGTTAGTTCTCTATTTTTTACTAATTTACCTATTTGAACGCAATTAGTTTTTTATAGTTTGTAAAATTTTTCGTAATTTTTTTGAAGCATTTTCTTAACGAGTATGTTATTTTTTGACACTTCTTTAGTCGATCACGTTGTATATTGCCACATATCAAAAAGATTTATGAACACTTAATAATAAAAATGTGACTATATTATAGTTGTCGACCGGTCCAAAATGGTCCAAACAATCCCACAAAAAATACTGGTTTTGAAATAAATTTTTCTTACAAGCTACTAATTAAACTCGCTTATGATAATGGCCTAATATAAGTTACTTATTGAATATATGTAATAAATCTTCTTGAGAAACCAGAATCTTTTAAAATATAGAATTTAGGATGGGTTTAGTCCCAAAAGTATTGCTGATTTTGGAGATAATTTTATTTCACAAACCATTAATAAACCTTATTTATAGCAATAATTAAAAAATGATTAGTAATCGAATGTAAGTTTAATAATATTTTTATCGAAATATATACCTAAATTTTCATATGAATTTGATAATTTTCATTACACAATAAATTTTTGATTTTTTCTTATAAATTGTATTTGTGGATAATTTAATAAGATAGTGCTCCTTATTATATACAGCAAATCTCCTCCTAAATGCACCCTCCATAAATACACATTCGCGATAAATGCACTCTCTAGCTTAGTTCCTAGCATTTGAATTTATTTTCTAAATACGCACCCTCAATACATGCCTGATTATGAAAGAATAGATTCAAATACTACGACCTATAGTTTGACTAATCTAGAGGGTGCACTTAGGGAGGGTATGTATTATGAAGAGTGCATTTATGGAGGTTTTAATGTATAAGTAACAAGTTTAATTTACAAATTTTTAATAAAAATTACTCGTAATTAGCATTTTACTCTTTTTATTGAATAATTTTTTTCAGGTGCAATGAAAATTGCAGATTTATTTAATGATAAAACATATTTCGAGTCTTAAGTTCAGGTTATAAATAATGTATCTCTAAATTTTTATTAAATATAAACAAAATTACGAATTCCAGTTCTTTAAGGCGCCTACTGTATAATTCAATTAATTATAAATGGTTCAATTGTATGAACCAAAATAAGGTTTTGTTATCAGAAATAATAATTATTTGAAGCACTCTTAAATTTTAGGTAAAAGGAACAAGATATTCTTGAAATTTGAAATGAAAAAAAGTTAAAATTGCTATATACATACATACGTAATCTACTTACGTCAATCTTGAATACACTAGTAGACTACGTAGTCATGGCAGAAAATTTTCCAGATTCTGACCTCCGATCTCTATTCCGGTCACACTGTACCACGTGATGTTCTCATGTGGCATATGGGAGTTAACTGGTAGCAAACAACAAATTGCCGATTATTGTACTTGAACATTTACTTAGAAAAATTAACATCGCGCAACGAATGAAACCATGCACGACACGTAAGATTGGTAAAAAAGAAAGAAGTTGGGAACACGGCCGCGTAACAAAAGAAAGAAGTTGGGAACAACTAATGGTCCAGGACTGCGATTTTTTTAATTTAAAATCCTAGCATTTGCTGATTTAAAGAAAATCACAGCCCTTGACTGCGAGTATCTTCACAATAATCGTTGGAAAAAAAATTAATGACCAAAGGCAAGTGGATTTTTATTTCTTAAAATAATTCAATGTAATTTTTATTTTCATCTATCTTCTTCCTTCACAGGCTAATGATTTTTTTAGCGTTCTGTGTATTTGGACGGAAACTAAAAAAACGCAAAAATATTCAGTTCGCGAAAACACTTTATTGGAACAGGCGGACTTGGCCTCATTCCAACATGTATGTAAAGTAAAGAGTAACTTTCTTTTGTTGCGCGGCCGTGTTCCGTTACATGCGGTCGTGTTACCAATTTTTCTTTGTGCTCTCAACTTCTTTCTTTCATTACCAAACTTTCTTTTATTACGTGGCCGTGTTCCCAACTTCTTTCTTTTGTTACCAATTTGTTGTTTGCTACCAGTTAACTCTAAACTTCGATCCATATGCCACATGAGAACATCACGTGGTACGGTGTGATCGGAATAGGGATCGGAGGTCGGAATCTGGAAATTTTCTGCCATGACTAGTCTACTATGAATACACTCTCATTTGTATTTAACTAATAAATCCATCAGATAACTTATCATGCATGTGATTAAAAGTATCGAGTCATATAAATCTCATATGACGCAATTAATTAATTTGAGTCACGTAAAATTCATATGACGCAAATAATTGAGTCAAGTCAAAATACTTTTGACCACACGTATATGTATATATTAAATGTATGGCATACCAATTTTTAGTGACTTAATTGGATACTTTCATTGGAGCATTATATTTAACCGATGATTGAAATATTCGAGCATAACTATTTAAAAAACCCCACAGATTTTGCAGATATTAGCTTTAAAAACTCTGCCGTTTTTTCAATCAAATTACTCAGAAACCTCAAGAAATAGCTCTAATTCTTTGTTCAAGTAGAATTATTTGAATTATCTAAAAATAAATATCTCGGAAAAGAATAATCGGACAATGTTTATTACTGATTTGATTTTTAAATAAAATAGTGCTTCATTTGAACTTTTATCATCAAAAATCTACAATGATTTATTGCATCATTCCTTAAGAAAAATGTGTGTCTGTAATTTGTCCGTACGTTTCCTATGTTCCATATGCCAGTTTTAATTAATCTGAAACAAATTCCAGATAGGTTTGTACGGAATTATTTACGGTATTTTTGCACATCGAATTCCGTACGTGTTTCTTATTTTATGTATTTATTAACGCTTTTAATACATATATATCTGGAATTTGTTCCAAATTAATTAGAGATTGTATACCGAATTAATGTGATTCCGTGTAATTGTTAGATTCTAGCCAATTTGTTACTATGTATTCATTTTTTAAAACTACATGTTATAAATATTGATATAACGATAATATAATACGATCAGTTTAATACGATAGCTTACACGTTCTTTATTGTGTTTTTTCCTCTGAAATACAGTAGATTATGCATGTGCATAATACACAGAATCTTTAAATGTATTGCTACGATTTTAGCACGTTAATTAAATTTCATCTCATCATACTAAAAATTGATCGTAATTATTATCATTTTACAGAGTAGAGGCAAAACTTAATAGAAAGGCCTCTTCAAATTTAAAGTTCAAGAGCATTGTTTATTCTGACTTTATTAAGATATACGCCCAATACTAAATTAAGGAATGATTAAAAAAACCATTGTATAAAGTCGCATAACGATAGTGCATATAATCAGGCATCCTCGATTTAAGATATAAAATTTGTGTGAAATCCATTATATTAAAAGAAAATAAGAGTCCAAACAGAATAAATTTTATTATTTCATAATAAGATTACAAGAAAATTTGGCATCAAACCATTCAGGTGTCTCTTTTCCTAATGCTTCGAGGATAAGAGCTGCACAGTCCATGTTGATCACTTCACTCTCGATCTTTGAGCCCGGTTCAATCCCTGTACCGCGGACAGCCAAAAACACATTGACTTCCTGATCACTATCACTACCATGGCTTCGTCTAATATCACCATGGTCAGTTGTCATAATCACGAGAGAGTCATCCCCCCATCACGCTTCATCAATCGCATCAAGTATTATTGCGACTTGTGAGTCCATGATTTTGATTTGATTTAGATATAGTTGAGAACCAAAACCGTGATCAACAACATCAGTTAGATGGACAAGCAACAATTTCACGTTTTCGTTTTCGGGATTTTAAATATAATCGATTAACCGTGAGACAACTTTATAATCGTAGGCGGAATCTTTCAGCCAATGATTTTTAAAACGCAGCCACCATCGTAAGAAATATTTTCATGCGTGAGGGGCGTATGTAAGTCGATTTTAACTGATAATTCTATGATACCTGTGTTGATTGCTTCCCACGCTACATACGATGCCATCTTAATATCTCCGAAGCTGTCTGCAAGTAACTTGTAGATACTTGGATAATGGTTATTCTCGTCATATGGCACACCTGCCTCTACATCACCGTTTTTTAGTCCGTGCTTGTCTAGAAGAACACTGTGTAGCACTGAACCCCAATTTTGTGCACTGTCCGTCGGCACAACCGCTTTGCGGTCAATGAGCTGGCACCCGAGGCAAAAAAAGCATCAAAGGTGGGTTTGAAACTTCTGCAAAAAATCTTCCGACACCTAGTGATGCATATTAGTACATGTAAGTTATTTATTTTATGCTTATATACTTACCATATAAAGCGAGTACTATGACACGTTTATATGGATGTTGCAGACACAAAATTTGAATTATTCTTAATACTTCGAGTATAGATTCCGTGTGTTCAAAACAATAAGACTCCTTAATAGTTTAGTGTACAAAGTTAATATTTTTTCAATATACATTTTTTGTAAAATTCACATCGACATAAAAAAAATGAAGGGTACGTACTATGGTGAGTCAGTATAGTAGCGGAAAAATGACCTCAGAGTTAGGTTTTTTATTATGTTCAAAAATGTATGTAATAATAATAATATAATACATAAAAAAGAACGATAATACGTGATAAATTATCATTTTACCTAATTCGTCATAAACTACGTACGTGCATTGGCAACTATTACTATAGTAATTTAACAATCACACATCGTCGTCTTTATACATAGAACACGTATTAATTAAAAGAGAGCGGGAATGATCAATTAGGAAATATTGTGCAGTGCAAACAATACGAGAAACCGATTATTTTATTTATCGTTATATAATTTAGAGTCTACATTTAAATAGAAACATACATTATATTTTCTGATGATGTGCAAGTCCAGGAAATACGTATATAATAGAAAACATGATTCAACTTTATATTTTCTGCATTTTCTAAATAAGGAAGGTAAATTGTTTGCAAGCTCAAATAACATATATCTAAATGAATCCTCTTTCATTTCTTTAAAAATTTTATACGAATTATTGTTTAGTTTGACATTATTTTCTAAAATTTCTTTACCAAAAAAGAAAAACTTTTTGTGATAATTTTAAATAATCACGTGTTTCTTTTGAATTTAAAAAATTAGTCATGTCTGGTGAATTGTCTTCAATTTTTAAATAACTTGAAGTCAAATAAATAACTTTTTGAATAAATCTATGTTTCAACGCCTATAAATTTTACAAGCATATTAATAAAAATAAAAACAATGGAATAATTAATATATGGTGCATATAAAGTCTAAAGTCATCAAACGTTTGTATTTTATAAAATGTATAAACTTCTTTTCTAAGAAGTTTATTCATTTTATAAAATACAAACGTTTGATGACTTTAGATTTTATATGCACCATATATCAATATAATAAAAAACACCAATTTCATAAAGGTCAGTTAATTTAATGGATATCTTCGACGAATTCTTGAGAGATGTAACTATTAACGTGGTTGTTGTAAGCAAGTTTCTTCATTTTTGGGCAAAATTGGTTTAATTTTTTTTACATTATCACTTTGTAGATGATAATTTCTAAACTTATTAAAAAATTGCTTCTCGTTATTGTTCAATACATTGGTGGGAACTTGATTGTCGTGCCAGTATCCAATTATTAGCGGTTCATTTGTTTTGGATTATTTAACAGTTATGATGTGCTGACCTTTAAGTTTATTTATATCCATTTTAGTAGAATCTATGTTTATATTTTTAGATATATTTTTAAGTTATTGTTTTATAGACATATGGGAAGTTTCAGACATATCTTTCGTTATTTATTTTAAATTAGACATAATTGTCAAAAATCTCGTTTATTAATAAGTATTTAACAATACACAATATTATATATTATAAATTTCTCAACTAAGAAATTAAATATTTAATTTTGGTTTAAAACATACAATATATAGATGCACTATTGAATTATTATCTGTATTATCTGTATTATCTGTATTATTTGTATTATCTGTATTATTTGTATTATCTGTATTTGTATTATCTGTATTTTCTGTATTATTTTTTGATTAACAAAAATTTTATAATACAATATTTATTGTTGGATTCATTAAATAATAAATGCAGAATCATATCATGTTATATTTTTTTATTTGACATGGATTTAGATTTTTATAGTTGGATTAAAGGAATCATGCCTGAAATATCATCAGAAGTTGAACTCTATCAACTCGCTAATTTAAAAAGAATTATAACCAATATTATTAGCAATTTTTGTGATAATAAAACATTGTATGATATTTTTCAAACTCAAAATGCAAAAGCAGCATGACATATATATGCGGTAATATGGTCCTATATTTTTGCATCAGATATAAACATAAACATGCATTTCATCAAATAATATGATTTTATAAATATCGTACAGAGTATTAATGAAAAGGTAATTATACAGTTTAGTGTTTGATATTGTATCTACAATATAATATTTGTATTTTATGTAAGTATAATAGATATGATCTTATAGAAAAAACTGACAAGGAGAATTATGAACAAGAACGAAATCAAATAGTATAAACGAACGCGTACAAAATGAAAATGAGTTATATTCGGCAAAAAAATGTCTAGAACAAAACATCGAAGCTTTGAAGAATCAGCAAAATTCTTTATTACAAAGCATTGACATGGAAAGGTATCTCATTTTTATTATAAATACCAAAGTATTATTTTCTTTATAATAATGACGATGCTTTAATAGATCTAAGCCAAACAATGAAAAATGAAATATTAAACAAAGAATTCAAAAACTTGAATTGCAGGAAAAAGCAACGAAAGCTATATTAATTATATTACAAATGAAAATGAAAATGAAAAAAATATGAAAAAGGTAATAAACTTTATTATATTCAATCATTCAATGATCTTAATTTAATACAAAATCTATAAAATTTACAGGAAAATAAAGAGCTACAAGAAACAATTGAACATATGAAAAAGGTAATTATCTTTATTAATCACTTAATAATCTTAATTAGTTAATACAAAATTTACAGGAAAATGAAGAGTTAAAGGAAATAATTTACAATAAATAGCTGGAATTTTATTGAAAACTGAAAACTTATTGATAATATAATTCTAATAGTCGAAATCTAGAAATAGTAAATACAAATGAAGAATTCAAAAAAATAATCAAGAACTTAAAAACAACGAACAAGAATTAAATGATACTATTAACTTATGTAAAAAGCTTGAAGAACAACTTGAAAACAAAGAAAAAGAATTACAACAAACTGAGCAAATTCTTGAATATAGTAAAGACCAGCTAAGTTACCACAAAGAGCAAGGTGAGGTTTTGAAATTAATCTTAAAATATGAGAAAGTCATAGAAAACAAAAATATAGTCATAGTTAAGTAAAATTCACAACTCGATGAATCAAATGAATTAGAGTTAAAAACTAACAAATTAATATATGATATTTAATTATTAAAGATTGAAGCAAAATTGATAGATTTACTTGAGTGCTTAATTTTCGGATTCTAAGCAATTCATCATATTAGTGATTACTTCATGAACCGTTTTTCATCGTGTAATGCCCAATCAGAATTTAATAGTACCGCTTTAGCAATTGATGACATTGATTTCATATCAACGCCTTTGAATTTTTCTTGTTTGAGTTTATTTCGTGTAGTGGCTTTTTTATTATTATTGGCTTGGTCGTTAAATCGAAGTTCGAGTTTGAATGTTTCTCTAACACCTTGTAAAAATACAAACTGAACTGTAGCAAAAAGTAATGCAAGTTTTTCATCATCGTCTTGTACTATTTTAAATTTTCTTTTTAGTTATATATAGAAGTCATCATCTTCAATTTGATTTTTGGTAATAAATATTTTATTTGTTTGTGAATGAAGTATATCTTCGGATGTATTTGACATGTTTTCATTCAAATTTTTGTTTCTTGCAAAAATTAATTTTTAAATTTATAACTTAACCTTTTTATTATTGTTGTATTATAATACACGTATTATGTATTATGAATTATAACTTAATAAAAGACTTGAATTAAAAATTATCAATAATACCTTATCCATGTATTCATTAGAAATGTATTATTTAATAATAAAAGTTACAATTTTTTTTCGAAATTTCACAATACATTTATATTTCCTTTATTCAAAATGCACTGAATATTATATCTTGAGTATACATATTTACTTTAATTGAGATAATGCTAGGAACTTTGTTAAAAATGTAAGCATGTAAACAATACAGAATTTTAGCTAGACGTCATAAATGGCTGTGAAAAAAGGTTCTTTCTTAAAATACTTGTTCTCTTAATAATACTTCAATAAATTTTCCAACGACTACTACAACATATCTTTATTTCAATTTTTCGTATTTCAAATTTTCATTATAATACATCTTTATTTTATTTGCATATTTCTAATTTTTATTATAATATAATTGTTTTTTGTATTCTAAAATTTTGCAGAACAATTCTAGTGTTGGTTGTTTCTACATCATATCAAAATATAGTAAAGTTGAGTCAAATTTAGATTAACAAAATTTTTACTTCAGTATACGTATATTTTACACCTTAACAGAAATAGTGATATTATTCAGGAAAGAGACTAAAAAAGCTTCGACAGTTTATTGTTGACAATTATAAGTTATTCACCATAAAATTTGTGCCTGAAAAATAGTTAATCATAATACATTAAATTATGAAAAAAATAATAATACTATATAAATATAACAGAAACAATATTTTAACTATTACTAAATAACAATATCAGGGTGCCAAGAGATCTAATAGTATTTAATTAATAGGTTTTAGATTTTAGTGTCTCCTAATTTCCAAATTTTCGCATTTTATTGTTCCACTCTATGATGGTTACAATACTATAATTATTACCATTATTAATAATATGCTCGCTATTGCGATTCCAATAATTACAGGTTGTGTTATCTTGTTAGTCATCTTTATCCTATTGATAAAAAGTTTTTGATAAACTGTTGATCTCAGTAGTCAACCTCACTTATAACAGATAGCCATTAGGGTATTATATTTTAATGGTACAGTGCAGGACACTTAAAGATGCCAATAAAATTAGTCATCTTTAAAGCAAAGAATTTTTATACAAAGATTATACAAAAAAATGTGAGCTGATATTTTGTAGCTAGATCTATTTACTACAAAATAGCGGCCTTTCTTTTTTTGTAACAATTTTAATAATTAAAAGTTTATAATTTCTATATTAAGAAACTTATTATTATTATATTATTAAGATACTTATAATTATATAATAAATATTTGTATTATTTTTATT